AGCTAAAGGACGAGTTCCTGACAGCACTCTCACAGGTCCAGAAATCATTCGGGAAACGACAGAGAAGATCGTTCAGATTCGTGAACGATTGAAAGCCTCTAGAGACCGACAGAAAAGCTACGCAGACAAGAGAAGGAAACCTTTGGAATTCCAGGTTGGTGACCGTGTTCTATTGAAGGTCTCACCCTGGAAGGGCTTGATACGCTTCAGAAAGCGTGGGAAGCTAAATCCAAGATACGTAGGGCTTTTCGAGATTATCGCTAGAATCGGCCCTGTAGCTTACAAACTCAAAGTACCTCAAGAACTTAGTAACATACACCCTACTTTCCAAGTTTCGAACCTGAAAAAGTGTCTATCCGATGAGACTCTTGTAATACCACTCGACGAAATCGAGATCAACGAGAGCCTCAACTTCGTGGAAGAACCAGTAGAGATCATGGACCGTGAGGTCAAGCAAAGCAAGCAAAGTCGTATCTCGATAGTGAAGGTTCGTTGGAATGCCAAGCGGGGACCTGAATTCACTTGGGAGCGCGAGGATCAAATGAAACTAAAATATCCTCATCTTTTTCCTTAGTTATCTGTATTTGCTAAAACTCTAATTTCGGGACGAAATTCCCTTTAACGGGCGGATGATGTGACAACCCGAAATTTCTATCTTGTAAAGCCATTCAAATCAATCAAAGGTCAGACTAGTTTCTGTTACCTTGTAGCCTTGCTAAGGGTTATTCTAGAAGTTTTTAAGCCTTGTGCCCATCGGACTTAATGCTATGAATTGTGAGTAAGGAATTTATGGGTTTCAAATTGAGCCAAGTTCATCCATCAAGGGATGTTTACGGCCTAAAGTGGGTTTACGGCCGTAAACCCAAGCTTGGCCGTAAACCCCTTCCTACTAGTGTAGAATTCCTTCCTTTCTTCCTCATTTCTCACATCTTCAAGGCTGAAAACTCATTTCTCTCTCAAGTATCATCAAGAACACTTCCATTTCTCTTCAAAGTTGTAAGTGATTCATCCATTCTTTCTTGGTATCCTTCTTAACTTGTATTCTCAGGTCACCAGTAGACAGGTACACTGGTACATTTCTCACATCTTTAATGCTGATCTACTCTTTCAAAATAACTTGTATTCTCAGGTCACCAGTAGACAGGTACACTGGACCAGGTTTTGAGAAGGCGGAGTACATTTGAGACTCGTCTTTTATTTTGATTCATATTTTGGTGTCTTTCAAACTACACAAAGAACACACTTGTATTAAATTATATTATTAATGCAATGGATGATGTTGTTGCTTGTTTTACGATTGTGCGTTGTTATGATACTGTACATGACGTCCTCCGCCCCCGAACGTTTCTGCCGTTCTGGTTTGGGGGTGTGACAGAAGCTTCAAAAACTTGTGATAATAATCCCACTGTTGAAAATTTCAAACCACAAAAAATTTTTAAACAGTCTAATAAAATGTGCATGTGCATGTGCTTGTGCTTGTGGAAGTTCTTTGAAACAAACTTCATCTGGACAAGGACCAAGTCACAATCTTATTTATTTGAAAAGACAAACTTGTTTTAATTGTGGGACTCCAAGACACATTGCTAGAAGTTGCCCACATCGTTCATATGTTCCCTACTATGAACAAAGTTGGCAGAACGTGCCAAGGGAGAGATCTTCCAAAAGAAATCCTTCGAGGTCACGTTCACGCAATGGTGATTGGAATGCTAAAAAGGCCAAGAATCAGACCTCCAAGGACAAAAAGGGCATGTCGGACAAGAAGCCTAATTCGAGAGATGGTTCTGCCAAACCGAATTCAGTGAGGTCGAAGTCATCTCGAGGGTCGTCCTCTAGCTTACACACACTACACAACCCCAAATCGAAAGGCAGTCCCAGCCCAAAGGCAAGTGAAAAAGGTCCCATTCGGTCCAACAAGAAAGTACACAAACCAAATTACCAATGGGTTCCCAAAGGTTACATTTCAAAATCGTCCAAAAGTCCTGTAATTTCTTTATGTTCCTTATCTGATAAATAGGATATGTCTTGGGAAAAGAGTATCATGTGTTGATGGTAAAGGTCAACCAAGTTTCAAAATGGACTGGGTTCCCAAGACCAATTGATTTTGCACTCTGTGTCGGAGCAGCTATGGAGGAATATCATCAGACTTTGGTATGTTCATAGTGGTTGTTGTAGTCACATGACATGAGACATCTCTCAAACTGCACGACATTCAGAACTTTAATTGAGGGTATGTGTGCTTTATGAGAAAGGAGGAAAGAAAAGATCACTCAAATGGGGACCATATTTAACGGCGTGATGAATTTTGAATATGTTAACTTCATTCCGGAATTGAAACACAGCTGAGGCTAAATACATTGATGTTTCTAAATATTGCTACTCTTAGGTTATCTGGATGCAACTTCTATTGCTGAATTACGATTTGAATTTTCTTTATACTCCTGAGTTTTCTTAAAATGATTCGTGTTGAAGACTAAAAGTTTTTTTTGTTTTTTACATTTTGTATTTTATTTTTTGTTTTTGTTAAATTTGTTCAGATTTTTCCTCTATGCACAAATTTAGGGGAGAAATAAAATCAAACAAAAAAAAATCATAAAATCCAAAAATATTTTACTATTTTTGAGAGTATTTATCTCAAAATTTTGAATTCAAAAGAGGAAGAGACTCAAGGAGACTGTGTCGAAATTCTCAGTGCTTAAAGTGATCTTGAAGGAAATTGATGGAATTACACTTCACACTACTTTCACAAGGAATTGAAGGCATGAAACCGTACAAATTGTCAGTTAGGCAGTTTCTCTCTAAGAACTGCCGTATTCACAGAATTGAAGGCATGAAACTATACAAACTGTCAGTTAGGCAGTATCTTTCTATGAACTGTCGTATCTAAGGAATTAAAAGTCTGAAACTGTACAGATTGTCAAATTGGTCTTGTCAGTTTTCTTTACCTAAGAACTGTCATGGTACCAGGGCGATTCACCCAACTGGGAAATAGATATCGCTGAACATCCCGCCCAGGGTCTTGACATTCTTTGTGTCATGCAAAACTGCGGAGACTCAAATGTATTCTCGGATACGTTCTCCGCAGGTAAGGAATTAACGGTTATTGGCACTAAGACGATGCACCTCGCAAGGCACGATTATCGTTGAACGTCCCCCCAAAGGGCCTTGACCTCGTGTCATGCTAAACTGTAGAAATATGTCTTCGGATATTGTGTCACAGGATGGTTTTGTGAGCTATTCCTAATTAACTCTCACTGGCACTAGAATGGTACACTCAGCTGAGATTCAGAAACCATTGAACGTCTCGCCATGGGCCAAGTTAACTTGTTTACTTGAAAAACTGTATTGAGATCTTTGATCGAGGATATGCAGGGGCTAACATCAAAAAATAGCCATGAGTAGTTCTCCGATACTCAACATATCGCAGTGCGTTCCTCCGTGTTCACACAGATACTACGAGTAGTCTCCATCTAAGCCAAGGTTGGGTCCTTGAACAACTGTGGTGAGAAGGGTCTTTATGACTCTGTGATCCACAAGGATTTTTTAGTCATGGTTACTTTTTAAGATGCATATTTGATCATTAAAGAACATTCATTCGAAGGAACTAGAAGTGAAGATTATCTTTCAACATACAACCTTTTAACTCAGAAGCAAGGTGAAGTTGTATTTGAAGTTATGTGGGAATTGCGTTGAAGCCTCCTCAATTAATTTGTTGCTATCTATGAACTTGCTGAAGTGATTAAGAAGAATCGGTCTCTCTGTAATTATCTCTGAAGTTTTTCAAGGCTGAAAGTGCTGATTTTCAAGAACCTATAGAAGAAGCCTCTATACCCAATGTGCGTTCAAAGTCAAATTCAAAAGGAAGTCCAATTATTCAAGATGAAGTCATTCATATGTTCATCTTTGAAGTTGTGAAGAAATCGAAAGTAAAAAAGAACTGAAGGTCAAGAATAAAGAGAAGATTGAAAGGAAAATAAAGCTATAAACCAAGGGGAAGATTGTTAGGACAAAATTAGTGGTTTATACTTTACTTTTGTTGACTTTTAGTGTTCTCGGTCCAGGACCGAATTCTCCATATTTTTGGTGGTGTTTGGACCGAAATCATCTTTGTGATTTCGGTGGGCTTATAGAATTTCGGTTGGGCTTGGGCTTGTTAAGGCTTTGTATTAGGTTTAGTATATAATGTATTATCAGCCGTGAATGAGAGAGTTAGTCAGTTGATCATTCTAAGGAGTTAAGATCGAGTTTTAGAGAGAAAGGGAGAACCCGAGAGCAACTTCAGAATCTTATGTACTAGACTATTTTGAATATAGTGTGCATTGAAGATTGATAATTGTCTTCTTAATTCATAATAATTGTTTTGGATTAATCATTATATTGAGTTTCCGCACCAATTATAGTGATTCGGATTGATATGCTAGATCGGGTTTTAGAGTTATTGTATATGTTTATATTGTATTTTATTTATTGTTAGTTAGCCCATTACCCCAATTGTATTGTAATAAGTATTTATACTATTCAGTCAATGCAAAGCCAATTATGGGAAAATATTCACACATTATTACACTTCTCTTATGAATCGGGTATATGATCTCTATCCTCCTATGTAGTTCGCCAAGCAAATCTAGGACTATCATTGGAAACAAGTAAAACATTGAGAAGCAAAGGGTCAAATACATTTATCATTTTTTACCTTCTTTGAATTTGACATGAGGGATTAAGCAATAGACTACAGTGCCATAAAACCTATCCACCAAGCATTTTTCAAATTGGGCCGGACTTGAACCGAGCTTTTATGCTTCAAAGTCCAAACGAGAATATATGCCAACATAATCACTTAAAAGGTCATACATCTTTTTCTATTCAAATTTACTTATTTTGATAACAAGTTTTGATCCTACAATAACAAATATTAATCTATATAGATATAAGTTTTTCTCTACATAAACATATCAAACAAAACATTAACAATACATAAATTTGAAAATTATAATTAAATAAACTCATTGTCGTTTGTTTTGAGGTTTCTTCCATAACACCCCAATCCTCTTAAGCACATTACCATTTTTCTTCTTCAATAACTCATCATCATCAACATCACAAGGAGAACCAATGTTCCCCCCAGGGGTATAACTGTCCATTGACCCTGTTCTCACCACCAACTTCCTATTCTCATTATTTCCGGCCGAAAGCATGGCGGCAGCCGCCTCTGCCGCCTTCCGCCACTGATCCGACTGCACCTTCATCTTCCTCAAATCCGCCTCCATTTCACCGTTCACCGCCTGTGCCGCCGCTAACTCCTCCACCATTCTCGCAACTTTCCGGTTACTTTTTTCAATCTCCTCCACGAGTAGTTCAACCTTCACAATCGATTCACTTTCAGATAATTGGGATAATTCCGATGAATCTTTACAATCCATTTTCTTGAATTTCTTGATTTCGAGTTTCATCATCTCGTTTTTCGTCTGATTTGGTTTTCAATTCCGTCTCCATAACATTCAATTTTGACTTCAGAAAGTCAAAATCGTGTTTTAAATTCGCGATTTCATTTTCCAATTCGTTTTCTCTCTTACCCGATTGAGAATTCTTCAATTTCGAATTTAGCTCCTCGTTTTCCTCACATATACCCTGCAATTCAGTTTCTTTATCCATTAAATTCGCCTTTAAATCTTCAATATCATATTTCGACTTCTTTAACTCATCCTCCAATTCGGTCAATTTTACCCTTGCGATCTCCATTCTCTTTCGCGATTCTTCTAAACTGAATCTCGTTTCCTCAAATTTCAAATCTTTAATCAGGTCTTCATCTGCGTTTTCCGATTCACGTTCCTTTGACTGGTCAAACTTGAGCGACTTTATCGTCATTTTGGCTGTTTCGAGTTGAAGTAAAGTCTCTCTAGCTAGCTCTTGAGCTTGAGACTCTGAGATTTTGCAATTTTTAAGTTCGGTTTTCATGGTTTCGACAATGGAAAGAGTTTCAGCCATGGTTGATTTTAAGTTATGCAACTCTTCAATCGCTGATTCCGTTTCCTTCGTTTGTGTAGCTTCGGAATTCGCTTTTCCGTCGATTTTGATTTGTAGCTGATTGATTTCATTGAGTGCAGTTGCAAGTGAATCTAAATCAGAAGAGTGTAGTTTCTTCGCTGCTTCAAGTTTTGATATCCATGGTTCATCAAGGTTTTGGAGATCTTGTGTTCCCTATTGCAAGAAAATAGCAACATCTTTTATTTAATAGTGTATTCTAGTTTAAAACATTGTATTTTTTTTTTTTTTATCTTTTGTATTATAACAATTTACATGTTTTTGACAAAAAGAAGTGTGTTTTAAAATTTTATTTACCTAATAGGTATAGTTTCAAAAAATTTTAACATTTTTAACTTTTTGTTATTGAAGTTTATCGAATTTTGTTTACAAACATTTTGAAAAAGAAATTTACTTGTTCCTCAAAAACTTCTTTTCTTAAAGGGATAAATCATTAATACCATGAAATTATTTAGTTATTTATTTATTTATTTATTTATTTATTTTTCAGATGAAGATTAAAGCGTGTTAAACGTATCCAAAGTCTTAACAAATGTTTGTATTTTTTTGTTAATTATTATTCTAATTTTGAAGCATAGTAATTGGGTTTTATTGTTTAGACTAATAAATTATATATTTTATTATCTTAGTAACGTTTAAATAATTAGAATTTATCTACTTTATTTCTTTAATGGAATGATGAATGGATTAATTAATAAATTAATAAAATAGGACTTTACATGTTATGAATATATATGCTATCACTTATACAAATGAAACGGATTATTATAACAAAAATGTTTCTATACATATTATTATTATTATTATTATTATTATTGAAATTGTTTTTGTTTTGAAATCATAAAATTAAACATAATAAAATATAATGGAGGACTAACGATTATCTATTGATAACATAAAATTGCTTACCTTTTAATAGGTGAGTTTATATAATTGTCATTCTCGTCTTGAAAGTCTATTATTTTTTTCATTATAACGTCTTTTGTATATTGCTTTCTTAATTTATCACATGCTCAGACAACAAATTACCGAATTACTATAAGACATAATAAAAGAAAAAATGTTTGTAAATAAATTTGATAAATATTAATAGAAAAAAGTTTAAAAAATTAAATTAAAAAACATAAGAGATGGAATAAAAGCTGAAAATTTCCAAAAATAATATAACATTAGATAACTACACCTATTTGTTAATATTTCTGAAATTACACCTAATTGATAATAAATTTTTAAAAAACACTTGTTTCCTTTTCAATAATTTTTTTTCTATTAAGGAAATGGTTTATAAAATTCAATTATAGCATTATATTTTCTTTTTTACTATTTACTTGAAAATTTTATTGAAATTTGCTTTAGATTTGGATGCCATTCCCTCCTTTGTTGTAAAACAACTATTAAAATTGCATCCGATAAAAGTGTTCTGAAGATCAACAAAATGTTTATACTTCAAGGAAATGAGTAACCAAAAGCAGTATTATTCGTATTAAGACATTCTACTTTGAAAAATATATCCAAATATAACATTGAAATTTGCTTTGCATGTGTTCATTATTAGAGCATTTTATTGTTAAAAAATTTATAAGATTATAACAGTGTCATCGAAATACAAAACACAATATAATTTTCAAAGTATAATGTATTAATAACAAAAAAAAAATACAACAGGACAATGCTTTAATTATTGATTTTTGTAAAATACAGTGTGTTATTAATAAGAAAAAACGTGAAAAGTACAATGTTGTAATTAAAATAAAAGGAAAGTAAAATGCTTTAATAAAATATAAATTAAAGTACATTTTTTCTTATATTTGCATTTAATCATTTAATTATTTAGCAAAGCGCCTTACATGTGGTTCCTCTGAAGAACACCGAGCCAATAGCTTTTGAGACTCTTCTAACCTTGAAGACATGGCTAAAAGTTGCTTTCGTGATTCTTCTGCATCTTGTTTCGCTTGATCTTTCAATGATTCCGATGAAACTAATTGATCCTTAACAGTCTTCAAATCATCTTGAAGCTGAGAAATTTGCGTTTCCAGCTCTGCAACTCTCACTGGACGTTTCTTCTGCAGATTAAAACGAACAATATTGAACTCTCCTCCATGAATTTATCAACTCCCGAATACATCATTACAGTTTTACACGATTCGTAGTTCAATTTACCTCAGAAATTGGGCTTATAGGCGATTTGCGAGTAACGATTACAGGACTTGTACTTTTTGGTGTTCTAATGACTGATTGATTGAGAGAGGACGAGTTGGATTCCAATCCAGTGGTCTTCAGTTGGCGTGCGATTCGACTCGAATTCCTTTGACTCGTGTCTGAAGAAATCGATCGAGGAGAGATCTTCCGAGAACCTTCGGATGACGTCTTCGTACTGCAATTATCACCCAAGAACAGCATCAGATAAAATTATTCGGTAATTAAAGAAGAAAACAGCACGAAATCGTCATACAAAATGGGATTCATACTGTAAACATTTGAAATTCAAAAAACAACGAACATGTTTACTACATTATAGACGATGAGAAGATGATGAAACACTGGAATCGTGATACATTGATAAAATCCATGAACGACATTGAAAGCGAGTTTAGTTACCTTGATTTTGGAGTCTGCATCTGGACATCCACGAGTAAACTGCTAGTGCTACCACCCTTTCTATCGAAGAGTGAGATGAAATTGGGATTTTATGCAGAAACTTGTTTCTAACTTAAAAGCTCTCTGACCCACAAAATTTATAAATTCAGAAAAATCACAAGCAGTGTGTGTATGTGTGAGAGAGAGAATCCAATGGTGAAGATGTAAAATGGATGGGGAAGGATTACTGTAATACTCTGCAATCTGCAACAGGGTATGTGTGATTATAAATGATAAAGGAGTTGATAAATTAAAGGACAATATTATATTATATTACAATAAGATTTATTTTTCTAGTTATATACTGTATATAAAACCCTAAAATATTGACTTCGGTATATGTCTCTAAACTGTAATTTTTATTGTTTGAATCAAGAGGTAACTTGTTAGCAATGAGGTTTGAACATTGTAGTAATTTATGACACGACACAAATGAAATTGATACGGAATTAAATTTTGAATTTATGTTCGTGTCAACTGTAAAAAATCGATATCTTCTAATGTAGTGTTCGAATTCGAAATTCGATACGAAATTGACATAATATTATCATGTGTTTGTCGCGCTTAGTGAGTTTTCGTGTTTGTACTTTGTAGTATTTTGTATGATTAATTATGAGTTAAATAAATGAAAGGTTTATTATATTTAATTTTTTTTGTGTTTGTCGTGCTTATCATTTTTATCGTGTTTTAATTAGATCGTTTTCATGTTAGTAATGCAAAAAATGTAATTGTGTTTATGTTATATAAAAAATTGTCTTCTTCTATCGTGTCAGCTGAAAACAGGAAACGGCTGTCCATTTTACCACCCCTAATTTTGAAGATGAGAAATACTACAACTCGAGATATAGACTCATTTTAACTAGAAGATTATGAATTCGTTTAAAACTGTTTGATATTTTCAGACAAACAAACACTAATTTATCATAAAATATATTTTTTCTAATAAAACAAATAAATAAACCTAAACATGTGACATTGTGCATCATCTCCAAATGGTCCCCCTCTTATGTCGCATCGGAAAGAAGAGTTTTTGGTGGGTACGTAAATAAAATTCTTTTGGTGAAATTGATGTGAATTCTCATAACAAAAATTTAAATATGAACATGTTAGATATGTGATGATGAAATGCACAGGACAGTGGTGGGGAACTTCTAATGATCACATTTATTAAAGACATTAAGACAATATATGTTCTTGGAGGGAACCCTCAAGCCGCCGAACACTCCGAACCCATTCAAGCTGCCGGTCCCAAAGTGCATTAAACGGTGTTCCTGACCAACCCGCTTAACCTGCTTCCCACCTTTCCTTGTTTGATTCCGGCCCAAATCGTGGTCAAGAACCCGCATCAAACCCCATTTCCAGGTATCGTGCTTGTGGGGAGGGTGTCCCGGCCTATGTCGTAGTGCCACATCAGAGACACTTCGTCCAACATGTGTTCCTCCCATGCTCGACTCCATTCACTCTAACACTCGGTTTTGAGGGGTTAACTAAAAAAAAATCAAAAACAAGATAATTCAAATTAAAATGTTAATAAATAACATAAACATAATATATTATCTTTGGGTCTAAAATGTAAAATGCATTTACAATCTACTGTCACGGGCCAAATATTTTGTGACCGCGTTAACCGATAAGACGAAAATCATGTTATTGGATTAGTTTGTTACTGGGTTCAAATGGGGGACGCCTAAACCAAGGATGTTGTTAGTTTAGTCGTTGTTATCCGACTGAGTCGTTGAAGAGCTTGACAATGAGGAGATCGTAGCGGGTTAGACACAACTGGTCGGGGTCTAGTGTCGCTTCCATGATGAGCCCATGGCAGGGAGAAACCAGTTGGCATGCATAATCTGGGAGGACTGGTATCGGGGTTTATGGGGGACCTCGGTACGGTGCATAGACAAGAAGTAGTATCAAACTTAATGTGACATCTCCAAATTTCTCGGCCAGAAAAGACCGATTTAGTGTAGCACCTGGTTCCCGGTATGTAAATTTATCTAAGTATTTTGCATTTTTAGCCTTGGACTCGGCGAGTTGTAGGCCCGAATCGCCGAGTAGAGCCGGGACATGGAACACGTTTAAGTTGGCGACTCGGCGAGTCCACATTATGGACTCGGCGAGTCCCCGCTGTCTGGTGAAACCCTAATTCCAAGGGTTTGCACCCTATTTAAACCAACCTTATGCGCCCCAAGCTCGCCCCCATTCACCCTCAGAGCCCCCTATATCGTTCTAACATCGTTCCTTGTGAAATTGAAGTGCTTGGTGTGATTTCTTGAAGACTTTGAGAGAGAAAGGAGAGTAGATCAAGAGGAGAGGAAGGAGGTCAGGCATCTTGGTGTTATTTCAGAGATTTCCTTGAGGTATAACTCAGTTTCCCTCTGTTCTCATGCTTATAGTCCCTTAGAGCTCCATTAAAGTCCTTCTTGAGCCATTTCCAAGCTTGGGTATGAACTAGGGTCTGTGATAAGCCGATCAACCTTTAGATCTAGGCATGATTGAGCTCTAGGAGCCCGGATCCACTGCCTTTATGAAGCCATATTGCATGAAAGCCTAGATCTACTCTTTTAGTGCATTTTGAGCCCTAAAACCTTCATTGGTGTTTATTTACACGTAAAGTTGGAAACTTTACGTGTTAATCAAGCCCTAGGAACCTAGATCTACGTATGGAATGAGCTGGATCCAAGCAAAACCGAGTATATAATAGTGGCATGTGGCCGACTCGGCGAGTCGTTCATCAGACTCGGCGAGTCGAGTCGCGAGTCCACGAGTTTTCCCCTTTTCGTGTTGCTGAGTGGAGTCGTGAGTCATGGGGGGGGGGTGACTCAGTGAGTCGGAAGCCAGACTCACTCATGGAGGAACTCGGCGAGTCAATGCCCTGACTTGGCGAGCCTCAAGAACAGACTCGGCGAGTTGTTCATACGACTCGGCGAGTCTCAGCATAGAATGTTCTTCGGTTGAAGATGAACTCGCCGAGTTGTTCATATAATTCGGCGAGTAGGATGAAGGACTAGTGGTCATTCGTTTAGAAGGAAACTCGTCGAGTCAATGCCTAACTCGACGAGTAGAGACGAGATTATGGTCAATCGAGTGGATAGGGACTCGGCGAGTTGGCAAGCCAACTCGGCGAGTCGGGTCAACTGGAAGTTGACTTTGATTTTGACTCCTGGTTTAGTTAGGGGTAAATGGTCATTTTACCCTGAGGTCGGTTAGCAGTATTTGACTGAGTGTTTTTGTGGGAATTATAGCCGGAGGATTTCCGGAGCAGCAGCAGCAGAAGTCAGTCAGTTCCCACGCAGATTAGCAGCCACTTTTAGGTGAGTTACCTTCCAGTAACGGTGGGTCTACGGCCACAATGCCGGCCCACCAGTAGGAGTTGCATGATAGATGATTGTCTCTGTGATATTCATCTAGGGTTGTTACTACCTGTGATATGTTTATGTGCTAAAATGACATGATGCTATGTACTAGTGACAGTAGGGGGAGATAGTCCCCAGATTACCGGCCGATAGGGTCGAAGGGGCGGTCGTGCCCAGCCATGCTAGATAGATTATGTGATAAATGTATTATGTGGTAGTAGTAAGGGGGTGAAAAAGTCCCCAGTACCCGGTCGAGAGGACCGAAGGGGAGACCAGCACCCAGATATGCTAGTCAGTAACCGGTCGAGAGGACCGAAGGGGAGGCCAGCTCCCAGATATGCTAGACAGTACCCGGTCGAGAGGACCGAAGGGGAGACCAGCACCCAAATATGCTAGTCAGCACCCGGTCGAGAGGACCGAAGGGGAGGCCAGCTCCCAGATATGCTAGACAATATCCGGTCGGGAGGACCGGAGGGGTAGGTCGGGCACCCAGATATGCCGGACAATATATGTATCTTATGTAACTGTATGGTAGGTGGTATGATGGGGGAACTCACTAAGCTTTGTGCTTACAGTTTATAGTTTTGTTTTCAGGTACCTCTTCGTCGAAGGGGAAAGAGCTGGCGCGGTAGCGGCACATCATACACACACATTGATTTCCGCATCATGAGTTATTCTGGGATTTGTACTCTGACATTATTATGTTTTTATAAAATGGTTTCTGGACACGCGACATTTTTATGAAATGATATGATCAGTGAATGTTTTATTTCTAATGTTTGCTAAGAATATGTTTCAAAAATGAAATTTTTTTTGGCTTGTATTTTGGGATGTTACATTTAGTTTATGATTTAAAAATAAAATCAGAGTAATCTTCCAAAAAATGTTGCGGAATTTGTCCCCAAAACAAAATATGATAAAATAATTTATCAAACCATTCCTTAAAGAAATGTATTTTCATTATATAACAAAACCTCGGGATGTCATGTTCCGATACAGACCAAAAGCATAAACAGTATATTATAAGGCTTACAACAGTTATTTACAACTACTGGCCTATAATCCAAAAATCCCTCGTCATCATCCAACTATGCTCTGGGTCCACTACCTGTAATATAAAAAGCTGAGTGGGTCAGGCTTGGGAGCCTGGTGAGCATATAGGGTTTTCAACCCACAATAAATAAATTTATTATATTTAAACTTCAAACAATCAACCAAATTTCTCATCCCCATTATCTTCATTATTCATAAAGATCTTAAAAATCATCTGTCCTCCATTCATTCTTTCCTAAGGACTATCCTAAGGAATAGGCATGAAGTCCATCGCTGCCCGAGATTTATACAACAAGCACTAAGTCCATAGCTACCAAGGTACTAAATCTATAGCTACCAATGTTCATCTATACAATACTAAATCCATAGCTACCAACATCTATTCATTATCCTGAGGAATAAACACGAAGTCCATCGCTGCCCGAGATTTATACAACAAGCACTAAGTCCATAGCTGCCAAGGTACTAAATCCATAGCTGTTAATGTTCATCTATATCACCTTCAGTTTCAGTAGAACAGCATGCTAGAATAGGACTAAGGATCTACGAATGATGCCTTATGTGCCTGCTTTATGTGTTCCAGCTTTATGAGAATTGCATGCTAGTACCGAGTAGACAGTAGTAGGATAGCCTGTTTAGGTTATGCCTGATAGTATGAGCTTAGCAGTGTATGCTAGTACAGATCAGTCGATATGATAGCCAGAGTAGTACATACTTGATTATGTGTACTCAATGTCCGAATGCTGCTTGCTATGTGCTTTTAGGAGTTCTAGTTGTCTTTCACTAACTAGTAAACGAATATGTTAAGATACATATTGCAA